ACATTTTTACATTATTTCTCCTGCGTACGACGCTTTATGAGGGCTGTAAATGTCTTCGTTTGTGATTTACAACGTTGTTTGTAAACCAGTACACACTGTGACTTTATTTGACTAAATATTCAGAACGTGACGTGGCCCTGTTTTATTGGCTACCGGGTCGTTACCTGACCCTGTTTTATTAGCTGCTGCCAAAACTGTCCTGAACCTGATATAATGACTACCAGTCCGTGACATGTTCGCTTCACTAGTTGCTGTTTAATAGGGTACGATCATAAAATAGCGACTTTCATTATATCTCTTGAGCTCTTGGCCCCTGTGGACCATCTCTCAGTGTGTCTTCCAAGACTTTCAAGTAAACACTATGAAATAATTCTATCGTAATCTCCTACATGTATGTTTTACATATTAATACTCGTGTATGTAAACGAGCCACGAAGATTTAGAATTTTCCTCTAAAGCGGGAAGTTTATTGCGTATCAGTTTATTATGAGAGATAGAGCAAGGCCGCGGGAATACTTAAAATGTCATAGCAGGAGTGCAACCGAGTGCATATTTCCAATTAATATTTTATGTTACGTGCGAATTAAGGGTCTTGCATAATATATCTGTTTTGTTTTTTTCATTAATAAGATATCGTGACATGTTACACAGGATATTGTTCTCTATGTTCATCTGTAAGTGAACAATCAAGCACACAGTGTTCAAGAGAGTGAACACTCAAGCACACAGTGTTGAAGAGAGTGAACACTCAAGCACACAGTGTTGAAGAGAGTGAACACTCAAGCACACAGTGTTGAAGAGAGTGAACAATCAAGCACATAGTGTTCAAGAGAGTGAACAATCAAACACGTAGTTCAAGAGAGTGTGACCGGTTGAAGGGTGACACTCAGCCTCTTTGCGTAGTTACACTCGATCACACATTTTATAAAAGTGAACAATCAAGTACTGTGTTAAAGAACTATCCACGTAGTGTTCAGAGAGGCGTATCTTCATTGTCTTTGCGAATTCATTCTCTGGATCATGTTATTTATTCCAACACCGATTTGTTAAGAAAGCCATTTCGAACGGTATTTCGTGAATTATATTTAATGTGTTTATTTTAGACTTGTTGTCCTCGAGTACGGTGTTGTTTAATCACGTTGATCTGTTGTTCTACGGTTGAAATTCACCATTTATGTCTCTCGTCTGCATGCCAAAGACGTCATCATTTAGGCTCTCGTGCCAAGGACGCTTGACATCATCCATGAACCGTAGGGTCTGAATTCTGCAGGAGTCCTGATATCTCCTACAGGAGCTCTGACATCTTCTGTATGAGCCGCTCACGTTTTCTGCTGGAGTCCTAACACCTGGAGGAGCTCTGACATCTGTAGATACCCTGACATCTCCTACAAAAGCAATGAAATCTTCTACAGGAGCTCTAACATCCTGTGAACGTCTGTTGACGTCTTGTGAACGTCGACAAGACGTCTACAAGACATCCGTAGGACGCCCACAAGACGTCCATAAGACGTCCACACGATGTCCATAAGACGTCCATAAGACGTTCATCTTCACAGCGCTCAAGCAAGATGGAGAGCATCCAGAACGTAATTAGACTACCTGGAGGTTACCTGGAGGTTATTCCTGGGATCAACGCCCCCGCGGCCCGGTCCACGACCAGGCCTCCCGATGGATCAGGGTCTGATCAACTAGGCTGTTACTGCTGGCCGCACCCAGTCCAACGTACGAGCCACAGCCCGGCTGATTCGTCACTGACTTTAGGTATCTATCTAGCTCTTTCTTGAAGGCAGCCAGGGGTTTATTGGCAATTCCCCTAATGCTTGATGGGAGGCTGTTGAACAGTCTTGGGCCCCGGACACTTATGGTGTTTTCTCTTAGTGTACCAATGGCGCCCCTACTTTTAATTGGGGGCATTTTGCATCGCCTGCCCAGTCTTTTACTTTCGTAGGGAGTGATTTCTGTGTGCAGATTTGGGACCATTCCTTCCAGGATTTTCCAAGTGTAGATTATGATATATCTCTCCCTCCTACGTTCCAACGAGTACAAGTCAAGTGCTTCCAAGCGTTCCCAGTAGTTAAGGTGCTTGACAGAACTTATACGTGCAGTAAAGGATCTCTGTACACTCTCTAGATCTGCGATTTCACCTGCTTTGAATGGAGATGTTAATGTACAGCAGTATTACAGCCTAGAGAGAACAAGTGATTTGAAAAGGATCATCATGGGCTTGGCATCTCTCGTTTTGAAAGTTCTCATTATCCATCCTATCATTTTCTTTGCACGTGCGATCGTGGCACTGTTGTGATCCTTGAAAGTGAGATCCTCAGACATTACTACTCCCAGGTCCCTTACATTATTTTTCCGCTCTATTGTATGGCCGGAGTCAGTAGTATACTCTGTTCTAGTTATTATCTCCTCCAGTTTTCCATAACGGAGTAGTTGGAATTTGTCCTCATTGAACATCATATTGTTCACCGTTGCCCACTGGAAAACATCAAAATTTCATTGGCAATTTCTTGGCATCAGTTAGTTTCTCAGACAAACACTTCAGTAAGTACTATATATGGTAGTATATTATCAATATATTCTATACTAACGCGTAGAGGACCAGAAACTTTCTTTCGAACTGGCATTCATTATTGTGCCAATTTCAATTTATTCGTCCTATAACAAAAATTTTAATGAAAAGATATACAGGGTGTAAGACCTATATGGAAGACTATGCATTGTACGTCACACTCACAGAGACGTGTGCTGTCCACGGTTATTAAAACTGATCAGATTACTTCACCCAACAAGGAAGTGGCTATAAGTTAGCTGCCGTTATGCAAATTCTGAGTTGTCTAACATTTGTTAAGCAGAGACTCCTGAGTGGAATAAAGGCAATCTTGTCCAGTGATAGATTTTCATTTTTATTTACATAATATATATATATTATATATATATATATATATATATATATATTATATATATATATATATATATAATATATATATATATATATATATATATATATTTAAATTACGCTGGAAGCTGAACACAAGTAAAATTGAATTAGGACACATTTGCAACTCATGGTATCTTCATCGAGGAGAAACGAGTTTCGCCACACAGTGACTTCATCAATCCATACAAAGAAGAATTGTGAACGAACAGGAGGAGATGAGGTATTAGTCCATCAGCCTTGAGTCGATTGGCTCGGTCCATTCAATTCTGCCAAGAATACAGCATATCTGTGAGAAGCACTTTATATACCGATCGGCAGAGAGATGGTGTCAGCAGTTGTGGTGTATTTCACTTTGTTCGACACTGTTGAATGGTCGTGCCCAAGGGTTAGGCGGAAGAATTTCCTTGTATAAGATCCCAAGATGTTGCTGTGTCAGACAGGAATGTGGACTGATTACCTCATTCTCCTCCTGTTCTTCACCATTCTTCTTTGAATGGACTGATGAAGTCACTGATACACAAGTAAAATAACAAGTTTGCTTACGGCAGTTGGTCTAGTAACCATTTGCTGCAACTCAAGAAGTGCTAAACCCATGTGGGTCATTCAGCGCATGTAATGGATTAGGTTCGAGCCTTCCTCTGGCATATGCACAAGACTTTGCAGTCCAGGCCGTGTGTGAAAAGACGGTTTTAAAACGTTGCTGGAGAGGTTATCTAGAGTGGCAGCAGTACAGTTTGCTTGGGAATAGTCTGAATGATGGTTACACCTAACTTCTAACTAATTGACTCTAGAGGTTATGTGCCTGACACAGATGTAGGGGTTTAGTATGTAGCTGTCTCAGCTGCAGTGACCAGGTATGTACCTGGCCTAGTTGTGGGAGATTAGTTATGTAACTGCCTCTGTCATGGAGGTAAATTATGTACCTGACCCAGATGTAGGAGATTAGTTACATAACTGCCTCTGGTAGGGGGACAAATTATGTACATGTCGCAGGAGTAGGGGAGCAGTTATGTACCTGTTGCACGTATGGGGAGCTGTATTTTACCTGGCGCATGTGTAGGGGCTCAGCTGTGTACCTGTCTCAGATGTGTGGACCAGTTAAGCACCTGTCACAGATGTGGGAACCATTTAAGGGATACCTGGCAACTACGTAAGATATAACTGGCTGGAGAAGATCCAAACACGCAGGAAAGAGTGCAGGTCTTGCCTCTAATGAGTGAAGAAATGAAGAAAAACACAAATTCAAAGCAAGCTTTCCTTGTGTCAAAGCTTCTCTCTTTGTAGAGCTGTATCTACTCATTTATAAATAGACTCTGTCAAGCTCTACACAAGGCGAAGTGTCGTCAAAAAAAGTTGCTCTTCACTTGTCTTTTTCATTCCAGGTACCCAAAGAAGGCCCAGGTAATGGCGAAGTTTTCTTACACTTATTTCTATTTTTTCAAGATTAAAAACACAGGTGAGTTCAATTGAGGAATGCTATCCTGTCCTCTCCATACCCACCCAGGGTACGGAAGCTGAAGTGTGAAGAAGACACAGGCACTGACGAAGGGATTCTTGCTTATATTCATCGTCCGAAGACTGGAAAGCACATATAAAAATACGTAACGTCAAGCCAACCTTTATTATTTTTTGTGGCGTTTTGCTTACATTTGATTTATCATTACTTATCTCTATACTTGCTTGTCGTCTTGTTGCCCCAGTCGACAGGGGTGAGCGCAGGTCAGCTCATCAGATGAATTCCTTACCGCCTTCACTAACTGCACCTGAGTTACTGACAAGAGGTATTCGCTTATGTCTATTGTCTGGAGGGTTAGAAACGAAGGTGACCTAATCTGGCACCCACACCGCCGCCTTCATCTGCACCATCTGAGAGATATAAGCGTAGGTGAGGCAAGCTGGCGATAGATTGCGGCGACAGGACAACACTGGGCCTTCTGACGAAGGGGGAGGTGCTAAAGAACCTTGCATCACCTTCACCTTCACACAGATGACCTTCGAATCTCTAAGGGAAAGGGAAGGACGAGATTCAGGTCTGGGATGGAGAGAGGGAGGAAGGGTAGGTGGGAGGTCATATATGTGTGTGTATATATATCGCCTCTTTCCCTGCCTCCTGAGCAGCATCTTGTGCCAGTTCCTCACACCAGCAACATGAAGCTTGTGAGTATTTCATACCTTTACACAAGGATTCTCCGAGACACGAACTCTGCCGACTTCCCGCAGATGCGGGAGGCCAAGAGATTCTTGAAGACTTGGTCACAAAAGCGTTCCAGTAACAGTTCACAAAAAAAAAAAAAAAAAAAAAAAAAAAACACAATTTGGAGAGGAAATGCTAGACGACGCTTCGTATGTAGAGATCCATTATCAAATTACAAACTGATAATGATCCAGATAGGAAGAGCCGCCTACTTATGATTCAGTGAGGTCAGTCTTCTGAGGTTCGAGGAACAAAGGCGATGGTGACACGCTGATGGAATAAATTATTTTTGACAATTCAATACACAATATTTATCGAGTGAATAGCTGTGTAAACAATATGTGAGTGATTGTGTAAACAGTGTGTGGATAACAGCGTAATAACAGGAGAATAACGCTAGTATATGTACCTCGTTATTTGAGGATAATTAAGACAATTCCATAAGCGAACACAATATAAACTATCCTTGAAACAGTCTATTCTCACATCACGAAAAATTACAGGTCAGAGTTTAATATTTTGTGGTTTCAGCTCGAGATAGTGTACTACAACAATAGTGAAAAGATGACATATTTAAGAAAAAGCTTATATTGACATCACGTTCCGCTGTGTAGAAGTGTATGTACAAACCTCACTCAAGGAAAAGATCTTGGGGAGAGTATAACACCAGGCATATCTGAAGCGCACATCAACCAAATAACTGCTGCAGCATATGGGTGCCTAGCAAACCTCAGAACAGCATTCCGACATCTTAATAAGGAATCGTTCAGGACCCTGTACACTGTGTATGTTAGGCCCATATTGGAGTATGCGGCACCAGTTTGGAACCCACACCTAGCCAAGCACGTAAAGAAACTAGAGAAAGTGCAAAGGTTTGCAACAAGACTAATCCCAGAGCTAAGAGGTATGTCCTACGAGGAGAGGACATGAGAGATAGGGGGACATGATAACGACATAAAATACTGAGAGGAATTGACAAGGTGGACAGAGACAGAATGTTCCAGAGATGGGACACAGCAACAAGGGGACACAGTTGCAAGTTGAAGACTCAGATGAATTACACCGATTTTAGGAAGTAATTCTTCAGTCACAGAGTAGTCAGTAAGTGGAATAGTTTGGGAAGCGATGTAGTGGAGGCAGGATCCATACATAGCTTTAAGCAGAGGTATGATAAAGCTCATGGTTCAGGGAGAGTGACCTAGTAGCGGCCAGTGAAGAGGCGGGGCCAGGAGCTTGGACTCGACCCCTGCAACCTCAACTAGGTGAGTACACACACACACACACGCTATCCACACATCCTTACGTAAACCCGGAATCCTTCTTCTTCTTCTTTTCTTCTTCTTATTATTATTATTATTATTATTATTATTATTATTATTATTATTATTATTATTATTATTATTATTATTATTATTATTAATAGATTCAAGAAGAAACACTAAATCTTAGGGTCATACAGCGCCAAGGAAATGGGAGGCAATCAGGTTTGATCTAATGAAGAGGGTAACTTCAATTCCTTGAATCAAGAGCCCCTCACGAGCCCTTCACCATTCTTAGAAGGTTCACCAGCCAAGTCTCGTGGAGACAAGTTTTTTTTTTACTCAATTCTGGCTCCATAAGTTGCAATTTCTGCGTAAAATAAACTGAATCTTTCACATCAGCTGTTGCCCTGTAATAACAATATATTAACAAAAACATGCAGTAAACCCGTATGGAGTAGCTGTGCCTTTCAGAGGTCCAATATCAGGATTATGTTGCACACTAGAAGTCCATAGTACTGATTTCATTTCAGATAAGCTCCTATTTCGTTATTCTCCTGCTGTTATTGCTGTTGTTACTGCTGCTGTTACTACTGCTATTACTGCTGCTGTTACTCTCGTATTGTTGTTGCTGCTTCTGTTACTACTGCTGTATCTGCAGGTGATCTTCGCCTGTCTGGTCGTCGTGGTCGCCGCCGCCCCTCAGGACAAGATCGTCGAGATCATCAGCGACCAGCGAAGTGACTCCGGTGACGGCAACTTCAACTACGCCTTCGAGGCTGATAACGGCATCAGCGTGTCGGCCTCGGGCACCCCAGGTGCTGCGGGCCAGGTCAACATGGAGGGTGTCTTCAGGTAGGGACATGAAGAGGTCAGGTCAACATGGAGGGTGTCTTCAGGTAGGAACATGGAGATTTCAGGTCAACATGGAGGGAGACAGATCATCACACAGAGGACAAAAGTCAGCATCAAGCGTTTGCTCAGAGAAGGAAATGGAGGGATCAGGTCAGCATGGACTGATCAGGTCAACATGGAGCAGTGAAGTAAGTTAAGAGGACTAGCAGCAGGTGGAATTCACAGCAAACGTAATAATTTCACGTCAATAATTAGTTCACCGAACCGATAATTAAAGCACTATAACTTTTCGTAAAACTTTAGATTACAGTGATAACGCACGAGGCAAATTTTCTCACAAATCCTGTAACGCATCCTGTCCTACAAATCGAATGGGCATTCTCGCTCCCATTGCAGAGTGAGAAATACCTCAGTGTATTCCTCCAGGTGTCCACTGATATATTCCTCACACTTCCTCTCAGTGGCTACCGGGAGGGGTACCCTGAGGTATTCCTGGCACCACTTCGATAATTCCTGCATGATGCAGGCAGAAATGTTAGGTTAAATAACGTAAAGTTATCTGGCAATAAAAAAAAATATAATATCAAAGCGTGGCTTACGTCTGGTAGTATTTAATATATTGTAGTCTGGAGGGAAACGGACACGAATGCATACACTGAGGACACCTTTATTGAAAGCGTTTCGGTACTGGGACATTGTATTTCAAGTGACCAAGGTTCCAGTACCGAACCATTTTCAGTAAAGATATACCAAGTATATACATTCGTGTTAATTTTCTTCTAGTTGTCTGCCTCTTTAGGTATCCCTAAGTAAGCTTGGTTACTGAAGGCTTAAAAAGACACAGGAGCAAATGCTGGGATATACTAGACAACGTTTCGATCCTGGGACCTTGATCACTTCTAACATGGTAGAAGTGATCAAGGTCCCAGGAGCGAAATGTTCTCTATTAAATATGTCCTAGTGTTTGTTTAGACCGCTTGCCGTTATCAATTACCAGGATTCATATCATGCTTGCTTAAGTTAGTACATGGTCTGTGCTCTACGTTTTCTGACGCTAGGTAAGTAAGTATTAAGGTACAGGTACACTTAATACAATTATCATACATAGTTACACTCGTAAATTACCTACGATAACTCGGAAAAGTTAAAGCGACTTATTTCCATTGGAGTCTTTCTAGGTATTATTTTTCTTGTCAATAAAAACGGAAATTTCATGTATTCGCCACACAACCAGTTGGCAGGAAATCCAGGAATAGATAAAAGAAGAAAAAAAAATATCCTCTGAAATCTCGTACAGTAATAAATATTATTACGTGAGGTGATGATCTCGTGAGGGTTATCCGGTGCTGCGAATCTTGGAGACTCACTGCTCGTTCCGCCTCTCGGAAGGACTCCATAATCAGATTATTCTTCCCTCCTCACACTGTACCTCAATATGCACTCTTCAGTAAAGTCTCTGTGCCTTCAGGTTTCCCCTTGACGACGGCACCATCGCTGAGGTCCGGTATATCGCTGATGAGAACGGCTTCCAGCCCCAGTCCGACCTCATCCCCAAGGATCACCCACTCCCCGCTCACGCCCTCCAGCAGATCCGCTTCGCAGAAGAGCAGCGCGCTAAGGGAGTCGAGTAAGGCTGACAGCGGTGGTGGTGTTCGGTTGGTCAGCATACATGACACTGCTTCCTGACAGGGTAGGGGAGTCTCTGTCGGGTGATGACTCGAAGAGTAGTTATTCTTCAGGTTCTCCGACTGGAAGACCTTCCTGTTCGACATGTAAATAACAGACCGGCTATTTCACGTGTAACTCAGTTATCCTTGCTTTAATAAATTACTGCATCTATTAGCGTGTACTGAATTCTTTATGCTATTAACCTTCAATAAGGTACATGTTAACCATATTGGGCTGAGGACAGGTAGACACTGTCTACCTGTCCTCAGCCTCTGCGCCTATATATACTGTCTTATTAACTTCTATATGTTAGAAGTGATCAAGGTCTCAGGACCGAAACGTTTTCTAATAAATTTAGTCACGGTGTTTGTACATATGTCTTTGTAAACAAACGTGTCGGTAACTATTATTACCAAGGTTAATACCACATGTTAACCTCGCATGAAGTACATGTTAACCTCCCATGAAGTACATGTTAACCTCCCATGAAGTACATGTAGCCTCCCATGAAGTACATGTTAACCTCCCATGAAGTACATGTTAACCTCCCATGAAGTACATGTTAACCTCCCATGAAGTACATGTTAACCTCCCATGAAGTACATGTTAACCTCCCATGAAGTACATGTAGCCTCCCATGAAGTACATGTTAACCTCCCATGAAGTAATGTTAACTCCATGAAGTACATGTTAACCTCATGAAGTACATGTTAACCTCCCATGAAGTACATGTTAAACTCGCATGAAGTACATGTAACCTCCCATGAAGTACATGTTAACCTCGCATGAAGTACATGTTAACCTCCCATGAAGTACATGTTAACCTCCCATGAAGTACATGTTAACCTCCCATGAAGTACATGTTAACCTCCCATGAAGTACATGTTAACCTCCCATGAAGTACATATTAGCCTCCCATGAAGTACATGTTAACCTCCCATGAAGTACATATTAACCTCCCATGAAGTACATATTAGCCCCCCATGAAATGCACGTTAACAATGTTAACTAACAACGTCTGTAAGAAAAACAGCAATAACCTGGATTTTGTAAACAACACCAGCAGTGTTACAGCCTAGTTGATCAGATCCTGATCCACAGGGAGGCCTGGTCAAGCACTGGGCCGCGGGGGCGTTGACCCCCAGCAACACCCTCCACGTAGACTCATTTTTTCTTCTCGTGAACTTACAGTAAAGAATTTTCTCAGCTGACTCGACTAATGTCAAAATCTCTATAACTACGAAAAATTATTTTGACCTGAAGGTACACTGGTCGTCACTTTCTGGCGCACAGCGAACATATATCTTGTCAGTGTATGGCCTGTGGAGAGCTTCTACGCTATGTAGATGAATGGTTCAGAGAACCGACATGTTGATAAATTAGACACATGTGCAACTCTTGGGTATCTTTATTGAGGAAACGTTTCGCCACACAGTGGCTTCATCAGTCCATACGTAGGAGAAACTTGAAGTTTCAAGTTGAACTTACGTATGGACTGATGAAGCTACTGTGTGGCGAAACGTTTCCTCAATAAAGATACCCAAGAGTTGCACATGTGTCCAGCTTCTACGCTAAGTAGGTTTTCCAGCTATGTTTGTGTATCCCGACGCCATCTGTTGAGTGACTTTAGCGTGACGTATGCTAACATAAAGAACAGTGATTTAGATCTTAATACTCCCTGGCTGAGTATGGATGAACTACCAAACGACCTTGACGCTGGTGAAGGGCTCTTGATTCAAGGAACTGTAGCTACCCTTCTTTCGCTCAGATCTGATGACCTTCCATTCCCTAGGCGTATTATGAACCATGCGGATTTATCTCTTCCAAATGCGTATAATAATAATAATAATAATAATAATAATAATAATAATAATAATAATAATAATAATAATAATAATAATAATAATAATAATAATAATAATAATGATAAGAAGAAGAAGAAGAAGAAGAAGAAGAAGAAGAAGAAGAAGAAGAAGAAGAAGAAGAAGAAGAAGAAGAAAAGGAAGAAGGAGAAGAAGAGGAGGAAGAGGAAGAAGATACTTCCAGGTTTTACTACCTAAACACTCACTTCATCATTGTTTATTTGTTTTGTTTTTTACCATCTCCTATCTCTCCTACAAATTATCTTTCAAGTATGTACAACTAGGTAGTTTGTCAGTCTCGCCCTCAACAGACTGAGGATCGAGCCTCCACGCTCCCTCACACTCAGTCACGCACTCCGTTGTAACTCTTCGCATATTTATTATTAAATAAATTTCTTCTCTACTGCCTCACGGGAAGAAGGTTGACAATTATATATTTTGTTCTTAAGAAAAGAAAACTGGTCTTGGTAAATGATGTCCAGGTCAGTTGGGTTTTTGGTCATCTCACCGAGACCTTCCGCCGGCTAACCTGTCATTCATGTGAAAAAAAAGATTTATGGGCAGATTTCAAATTCATCTCAAGAGAGTCCTAAAATGATCAAGCAGTCACAATAAGGTTTTTGTTTTACATAGTTTTACTAGTCAAAAAAGTCCATCAGACGAAGTCTGTGACGCAGTGTCTCTTATCCACTTGTCTTCAGTGATGCTTCGTGTCATCCAAGAGGATGCTGCGGTCAGGTGGACTTTTCGCTCAGAAAAACCAAATGTTTGGAGTCTCATCACCACCTAATTGTTTACATAAGTTTAAACTGGTAATGGTCACCAGATTTATATTGATGACTCTTCTGGGATTATTCCCATTCCTAAGCTTAGTAACTGGGATGACAGGCTGGCTGACAGGCTGGCTGACAGGCTGACAAGCTGACAGGCTGAGGAACCCTTGAAATATTTTTTGTCTCATGGAACTCCTACATAAAAATTATAGTATATGATTATTAATATATTTCTCTTCTATAAACTGAAAATTCATAAGGAAAATATAATATATTTTTTTCTGATAACTGTTTTAAGTAAAACAAATAACTTAGGTTTTTCTCAAGTTTATTGACAATAAAAAAAACTGAAATCAAACTGTTTATTCAAGAGACCTCATATGAGGTTTTCATTCACAGAAAAAAAATAGGCCTGACAGATTGGCCTGAAAGGAACGGTTTACAGATAGACTCGAAAGATAGATGGGTCTGAAATATAGGGATGAGAGCCGCTGAAAGCGCCAATCACGAAGTGAGCACGTCAGTAGACTTGAAGCTGCAAAGCTTCGCAAATAAGGGTGACGACATAAATAGGGAAAGGATACAGAAACATGGTGTAAAGAATGAGTGTACATAAGCAGAAAGTGAGAGAGAGAGATAGAGAGAGAGAGAGAGAGAGAGAGAGAGAGAGAGAGAGTGGGAACCACAGAGGTCTTCTTGACGAGTAAAACCCGTAGACTTATTCCGCCTCTGGTGCTGTTAGGGGAGACTTAACAATATATTACCTACGTTTTCTTCTAGGAAACTGATCATTCCGGTGAAGTTCTCGAGAAAGAAATGCAGTCCTTGGGATATTGATATTTTTTTTAATCATTTCCTTGAAAAATATTGAGGGAAATAAATCACACATTTTTTTTAGCTACAAATTTAAGATAAAGCTATAAAATATATATATTTAGTAGTCATAAAATATACATTTTTTTGTAATGTTTCAATAACGAAAATTTTGAGGTTGAGAAGTTGATATTTTCAAACATACGTACATGTAGTTCAGAGCCTGAAACAAGCATACACACACACACACACACACACACACACACACACACACACACACACACACACACACACACACACACACACACACACACATGTTAACAGTGTAATACTTGTGTAGTATTATATACATTGATAATGTATGGCCCGGTGGTCTGGTGGCTAAAGCTCCCGCTTCACACACGGAGGGCCCGGGTTCGATTCCCGGCGGGTGGAAGTTCCGACACGTTTCCTTACACCTATTGTCCTGTTCACTTAGCAGCAAATAGGTACCTGGGTGTTAGTCGACTGGTGTGGGTCGCACCCTGGGGGACAAGATTAAGGACCCCAATGGAAATAAGTTAGACAGTCCTCGATGACGCACTGACTTTCTTGGGTTATCCTGGGTGGCTAACCCTCTGGGGTTAAAAATCTTATCTTATCTCTTATAATAGATTATGGTCATGTTCCCTGTCAAACCTCGCTGCATCCTGCACATGCACCGATAGGGATCTTCCACACTTCTTGACAGACCTAGAGACTGGCGGACGTGGTCAGGCTGGGCTCCCCAAGTAATACCAATAATAACGCCTCCTTATAACAGTCTACACTGTTTTCTTCGCTACTAACTCCCTTCCAAGAACTCCCACGACACACACACACACACACACACACACACACACGCCTAGGACAGAATGGTAACTAAACACACACACACACACACACACACACATTTCTTCAGTCACAGAGTTCTCAGGCAGTGGAATAGTCTGGGAAGTGATGTAGTGGAGGCAGGATCCATACATAGCTTTAGGCAGGGGTATGATAAAGCTCATGGAGCGGGAAGAGTGACCGAGTAGCGGCCAGTGAAGAGGCAGGGCCAGGAGCTGCGACTCGACCCCTGCAACCACAACTAGGTGAGTACACTCACACAAACACACACACACACACACATATTACTCGTCCCAAGAGAAGCAGTGTTTTCAGACACTTTCAAGAATGTGGTCTCTGGATCATTGTGTCCTGAAACTCGTTTTCTTCCTATTCTCTGAGTCATCTTACCAGACCACTGCGTCATCCTCGAGGCCACTGCGTCATCTTCCAGTCCACTGGTTCATCTTCAAGGCTATTGTATCATCTTCCAGACTATTGCGTCGTCCTCTAGAGTTCTGTTATCTTCCAGGTTACTGTGTCATCTTCCAGGTCACTGTGTCATTTTCCAGGTCACTGTGTTATCTTCCAGGTCACTGTGTCATCTTTCAGGTCACTGTGTCATCTTTCTGATCGCTGTGAGTCCTTTTCCAGGTTTGGGAATAAAGAAACACACACACACACACACACACACACACACACACACACACACACACACACACACACACACACACACACACACACACACACACACAGAACGTGAAAAAGAATAAATGAATCACCAGTGACTTAACACAAAATTACGGACCATTTGGGGTCTTTTTTGGAAAGAGCGACCACGAAATAAAGGCACATGCTTTGACCTTTAAGGTCAGAA